TGTTAAAGTCAATCATTAATCCAACTTTGAAAATTCTGCCACCTTGGAAAAGGGCTACACAGCCATCCCTCTGTAAATCAAGCTGGGGGAAAGAAACGGGAACTTGAATTCAGGCTGGCGGCTTCTTGACCAAACACTCATCGGAGGCACTTTTTGGTTTTCTTTCAAGTGCCAGTATTTTCCAAATAATATCCTTGTCAATTTTATGTGCTTTTGTGATAGAGTGCTGACTTCATTCCCTAAGTCTGACTTGGGATTCCTCCCATACGCAATTGTTGGATGTTTAATTTCAGGAAGGAGGACTGACCTGAGTCTTGGATGATAAAAGAATCATCCGGGTATTTTCAGTATCTGGGAGATGGGGTGTTCGTGGTCTGGTGTGTGTTTCAAGAGCTTTTAGTGGAAGGCTTTACTAACCGGTTAATAGGCTAATGGAAATAACTGATGAAATACCCCAGCTACTACTAGAGGGTGCTGTGTGTATATGTACACGTGTGAGGAGAGTTGACTGAGAGGGTTAGAGTGATTATTTTTTTTCTGAAGCAACTCCTGCCATGCAGTTGATTTTGACTCACAGCAACCCCAAAGGAAAGGACAGTAGGACTCCCTCCCCCTGTGAGTCTCGAGACAAAATGTTTACTATGTGAGAAGATGCTTCCTCGTCTTTCCCCCTTTGTCAAGCTAGGCAGGGGGAGAAAAAGGTAAGAGATCTGCACAGTGAGAAGATTTCAACCCTCAGGCCCACAAGTAGAAATTACTGAGATTATGTTGGAAAATTTAATCTTGGAGAACGCACAACTCCTCTTCAGATACTCTGGGACGATTCAAACTTAGCTGGAGCTTGGGCGCTCACATCTGTTGCTAATAAGTTTGATCCGTTTACAAGTGGGTTCTGCCTCTAGGAAACTAGCCTGGTTAGTGGGTGTGGGGTGGCTAGTTGACTGTTTTGTTTTTAAGATGATGTTCAGAATGGGGATAAGGGTGTTTTTGTCCTTTCCCTTTCCAACGTGAGTGATTAGCTCATGGGCTTCAGATGCTGACAGCCAAACATCGATTAAACACCCTGTGATGAAAATGGCCTGCTGCCTGTGGGTCCAGCATAGCTGCAGCAAATGGAGGTGGGAAGCAATTGAAATCCCCTGTTAAGAAGTCAGTGTTAAAAATAGCAATGACACGATGGAGTAGAATTTCTCATAACATCCAGAAAGATTTAAAAACAAAAGTTGATTCCAACTCAGAGTGACCTTGTAGGGCAGATAGAACTGCCCCTGTGGGGTTCCATGACTACAGCTGCTGGCAAGGATTAGATAGTGTAATTTTCACATTATATATATCTTGCGTGTTAAACTATGGTACGGTGTACTGATTCACACTTTAAAATAGGAATTCAGTGTCCTAACCTGAGATGAAGCTCCCTGCTCCCACAAAGATCTGCAGTCTCGGAAACCCTATCCAGGGTGACTGGGTTAGAAAACACTTGATGGCGGTGGGTTGGATATAATTGCTATTTATTACCAGCTAATTGCTGCCATTCGGATCTTCCATTAAGGTTTTGAAGATTGCGGCCCTATTTATAATTTTCTGTAGAATGACATCAGAAAAGGCAGGCATCGTGTGTTGTATCCCACAGGGTTTTAAAAAAGTGTTTATATGATAGAATAACCATGAGAGAGAATTTCCCACCCCGGGCTTCATAAATAGCTGCTCAGACAATGGCATCCAGAGAACCCTGATGGCCTAACGGTTAAGAGCTGGACTGTTGACCGCAAGGTCAGCAGTTCAAAACCACCAGCCATTCCGTGGAGAAAGACAGGCTTTCTACTTTCTACCTGGCTTGGCATTCACCTGCCCAAAGGATGTGAAATCCAGACTGGTCAAGAGGATTTTTCTACAAACAGAATTCAGCTTTAACTTGTTACCGCCTGCCATGTAGTCCTGCGGACGAGGCCTGGTGGCCTTGTGGTTGCTGTTGGGCTGATCCACATGGTTGTCAGTTTGAAACCTAGCAGCCCTCGACAGCAGTGAGATTTTTTTTTGAGTTTACATAGTCCCACTTATGCACAACGAGCATCCACTATGGGAAACGAATGCGGCAGGAGGTGTTCTAAACCATCCAGTGTTATTTGGGGAAGCAAATTAGCAAGCCCAGTTGCTGAAAAGAGCATTAATAAGGACTTGTGATGGTCAGTCTCATTTATGCCTGAGGTCATTTTCAAATGCTCCTTAAGAAACAAACCAGTCAGGCAGTGGGTTCCATACTTGTCCAGTGCTGACAATGTTTTCTTAACCCCCACCCCCAATAGCAAAGAGACAAACGTTTGACACCTTGGGAAATCCCTTGGGCCTAAGCCAGGCTGCACCTAGGAGGAATGAGGTGGAACATTATCTGAGGTGGGAACTCCATCCACTGACCTGGAGCCGGTCCCAGCTCAGGGACCCCAGGTGACCGACTTGAACTGCCCCACAAGCAGATGGCCACAGTTTTTCTCTGAGCACCTGGTGAGTTCCAACCACCAGCCCTTCAGTTAGGAAGGCCCTCGGTCACCATTGGAACCCCAGGGTTCCTGGGAGGATGGCAGGCCTGAACGTCCCAGGAGGCAGTTGTAAGTTGTACTCCGTCCTATAGGGTCACTGTGAGTTGGGATCCACCTGACGGCCACAGGATTGCTTGGGCTTTTTGTTAAGAATCAGGGAAGGTTGCCCGGTTATTTTCTGGGTCCATCAAACATCTGTGTACCAACACCAAGCTCCCTGCCCTCGAGTGGATGCTAGACTCTTAGCGACCCTGTAGGACAGGGTGGAACGGCCCCTGTAGGTTTCTGAGACTAACTCTTTACAGGAGTAGAAAGCCCCATCTTCCTCTCATGGAGTGGCTGAAAGTTTTGAACTGGGGACCTTGAGGTTAGCAGCCAAACTTGTATAACCACGACGTCAAATAAACATTCCTCCTTTTTCAGACACACACGAGATTGACTATTTGAACTGAGCTCTTTCTAAAACGTTCGATTTCCAGAAGGAAATATTCATGTCATCAATAATGTGAAATGATTAACTGCCCATTTGGGTCTCCTCCCTCCTCAGCGTAAACTTCTGATGGTCGTGTCGGGGAGGGGTTGGGTGTCAGTCTGAACAGAAACTGCAGCCAACAGTTGGATGAACAATATGTAACTACCTGGTGCTTCAGGATGGTGTGAGGCAGCCTCTGGGAGGAAGGCACAAGTTCTCTGAAAGTGGCGTGGACTGAATGGAATGAAGTTTCTCCGTGCCTCTCTTCCTGGCTAGAAAAGGTACTTCAGGATAAAACACAGACTCAATGTATCTGAAGTGCAATCATGTTTAAAGGGGATGAAAACTTTGCTCCTTGGAGTTACATGTTAGGAGCCGTGGAGTCGGTACCGACCCATGATCATAATGACCCTGGCTCACAACAGCTAAAGAACCACTCGGCCCTGCGCCATCCTCACAATTGTTTGAGCCCCGGCTTCAGACACTACGTCCACCCATCTCGTTGGGCACTTTCCTTCTTTTTTTTTTTTTTTGCTGCTCCTCTGCCGGAGCAAGCATGATGTCCTCCAGGGACTGGTCTCTCCTGGCAACATGTCCAAAGTACACAAGACAAAGTCTCACCATCCTTGCTGGTAAGGGGCATTCTGCCTGCACTTCTTCCAAGACATCATCTGTTTGGCCTTTTGGCAGTCCACGGTGCTTTGAATAGTCATTCTCCAGCACAACGATTCACACACGTCGATACTTCGGTCTTTCGGACTCAGCGTCCAACTTC